TGAAATAAGAAAGTTTTTCTTTTTCTTTCTTGTATCAAAAAAAATACAAGATTTTATTGTGGAAAGTGTGTACAGAATATTTGAATATTTTACAACTCACTTTTTATTGTCAATTTTCTAAACATCTTTTACCACTTAATTAAAAACATTCACATTTTTAAAAAGAAAAAAAAATATTTTTTTTTTAAATGCAATGTTTAACAAGAGATTAATAAATATAGTTCTTTTAAAAATATTGTTTATTAATAGGTTTAAACCTGACTGGATAAATTTAAACTGAATATTTTTTGTTTTTTAAATTATGATTTATTACATTTTAAGTGACTTTGTGCTGGTAGTAAAATATTTGTACTTACATTTAATGTGAGTCATAGGAAAAGACACAAGACTCTAGACCTTTATTATTTTTTTTCAGATAAAATTTAATAGATTAAGGCTTACAAAATATGAATGTCAAAATGATAAGAATTATAAAATATACATTACCACATTTGGTAATACAATAGACAATTTATGCAGTACTTTATGATTTAACTGAAGCTGTTGCTCTATAACTGTTTGAATATATATTTACTAATCAACTCGACTCATTTTGCAATATAGACAAACGTTAAAAAAAAAAAAGGCTGATGTAGTATATACATTTAAATCCAAAGACAAAAGAAACATATTTTTGAAAGTGTATATAAAAACAACATTTTAATATTTAAATATGTCTATTCATTTTTCTTATAATTTTATCTGCATGGTTGTTATTTCCCTTGAACTCACTGCTTTCTCTCTATCAAAGAAATTGTGTCAAAAAAATATTATTCCAGGGGTAAATTAAGTTCACATATATCCCCACTTTTTTTTTTTGTTAGCCTTTAGTTAGAAAACAAAATTTGTCAATACTACAGAGTTTTATCAGCAAAGATTTCCCAATTATACTTGTTATTTCCCTACATATGGTGTTGTCTAGACAAACTTATTTTATGGCTAGACAAATTTAGGCAGTAAAGTTATTTTGGATGAATGATGATGTTTTATTATGGTCTTTGCTGTTTTCTCAAAACTTGACGATTGGTTCATTTAGATGAGGGTATTTTCAAAGTTAATAAACAAGCAATTAAACAAACACTTAAAAATGATCACATTTGTAAAATAGTAATGTCATAGCAAGTTTACAGCTCCAGGACTGAGCTAATCACCCCATGTGTCAGTATTTGATTCCAGTTTGTTTTTCAGTGCTTAAAAAGATGTATTAAACATATTACAGTCCCCAAAACCTGGCATATCTGATAACCTGGCATTCTTTATAACAGTGCCACACCTTTGCAGGACATAGAAGAAAATTCTGCATGCCATCATATTATAGACAAAAGGACAATATGCATCTTAAAAATTATAGACAGCTTTATACCTTCATAGCATACTTTCCCTTGTTAAATTGTATTTGTGCTGATGTATTTTTCATTTTAGCCCCATTTCCCTTAACCTTGCATGTTCACAAACTAGGGAGTCACAAGATTCACATTACAGTTTTTGGGGACTGTATCACATTCACAATTTATATATATATATATATATGTGTGTACACTGAATATATGCATGACACTTTCTCTATTATTTTTGTATCTTAGGACTAGAAAAACGTTTCTGTCTGAGACTACTTTTGCTCTAAACACAATTCTCTGTTCATTCTTAGGCTGCTGATGTCCACATCATGATGTTTTGATGCCACACTTCCTAGTTCCTAAGGCCACAACCTGGGCTCGGAGGCACAAATTATGGTCTCAGGGAAAAGGTAGGGGCAATCTCTTTAGTTAGCCATTCTGTGTATCTTTCTTCACACCATTGTCAATGCTTTTTTCTGTTGGGCTGAAACAAAAAAATTAAAATAATATGTCCAATTAATACTTGAATTAGCACAATTAAACATGAATTGTAATAGTTGGATGACATTGTGTGAATTTAAGAATGCAATATATCTCATTCTTTCTGTTAGGTATGCTGTAGACTTCACAATACTATGTAGGATACATGTTAACATTGAATAAGCTACTTAACACTTTCAGATGAATTGAACAGGTAGTTAAAATGTATATGAAGGCAAACATAAACTCTTCAGTCCCCCCAAAAATGTCTTCTAGTTACTAGTTAGACTAGTCTATGTAGTCTTGCACCATCAAAAACATTTGTCACTCTCTTCTTAAGAATTGCCAATGTTAATATATCAAGAAATGTGAATAAATACTTAGTATTTAATGATTCTGAGTATTTATTCTTGCTATGTATTATGTTCACTGTCTATTTTTTTTTCCATTAGCCACTTGTTTCAGTGTAAATATAGTCTTAGGGGATATAGGAAGCCCTCCTCCCCTTTTTTTTTCCTCTTCATATTAAGCATGCTTATTTATGTCATTAAAACTAGCTGTTAGTAAAACTTTAGTTCCTCTTTCAGACCTTGCTATCTTTTATTTTCAAAACTTTGAAGAATACTTTGTTTAAACATCATTTCCTTGTTACATCACAATTAATTGATTAATAAACACAATATATATATAAACACAATTCTAAACCCCACCAAAAAAAGTCTTGCAATATAAGCACCTTTGTTTGTTTAAGCCTAAAGATAACAACTAAAATTATTTTTTTTTTTATATATTTGAACGATGCTTCTTAAGAAACAACAAACATGTCAGACATAGTGCATGTGTATCTAGACTGTGAGCACAAGGAAGACCATGGTGTAGTTTTGAAAACAAACTTATAGCATTCATTCTAAAAACTCATCATTTCTGGGGGATTGTTTTAAATAAAATTTTGAGATGGGAGGGGGGTGCTATACCAGCTTCACTAGCTAATAACAACTCTTATACAATTTGGTGTCAAATCTCTCTCTCATTTGAAAGCTCTAAAAAAAAAGATTTTTTTTTTTGAAAGGCTAAATATTGATAAAAGGCTGGTAATTAGCTTCCCTGCATAAAAGTTGTCTGCAACTATAACATTTGGATAATCGCAATTAATTATTTTTAGTGTCAAAAGCCCTGATTCAGTCCTTTGTTTCTAGTTATGTAATAATTCATTTCCTCTTCTACGATTCTGGTGTGTTGGTAGCAATGACAACATATTTTTGATTAGGCTCAGTAAACACATTGCTACGTTCACTGCAGCATTCACGTTGGCGCTTTTCTGTTACATTCTGTTTGTTCTTCACGTGTGCATCAATCTGGGAAGAGAGAGACAAGATATTGTGTTGGTAATCAGAAAACAAATCCTAAGTTTTACATTGCTCCTCTAGACTGTATACATTATAAACTACTCTTTCGCCCAGAAACTTGAGCACGTCAAATAAAAAGTGTTTTGGGATAGAAAGAGTGAAAGAAAGAAATGAGTGGGAAGGAGAAAGTCCTAGAGCTGTTGGGTGAATGTAATCATCTGTCTACTAATTACACCAAACCACTTAGTGTCACGTGACACCCTGGCCTCTTTTTCTACTCATCACCTGGCCTACAAAATACGATACTGTCCTTGCTGGAATAACGCTTGCGGGGTGTTGCTAGTAAAGGCTGTGAGGTAGATATATGGTGTACTGTCTCAGCAATAGACTGGGCAACTTTCGCGTTGTATAGTGTAGTTGTAAAATACTATTTCCTGATAGTTTCTACCTTTACTGAAGCAGAAAAGTTGCACACTACCCCACATCTATGGCATTTTTACGTCTAGAGAGACGATCTTTTCCCTTTGCAACTTCTTGTGTGACTAAAGAGGCCAATCCTTGGTACACAGCAGCGATCGCATGTTGGGCATATGTGATCACCTGGCGCCGTTGCATTATCACCCTTCTTTCTGCTTCTGTAGTGTATGGCATCTGCAATCCGAGACCCTTCCTTTATGCTCTCTCTCCATGTAGATCTATCCAGTGCTACTTTTTCCCAAACACGGAGATTTATAAAACAACAAATACGGATGAGTTCATAGCTGATAACAGATTTATGCTATGGATTATTTAGCTTAGAAATTATTCTGAGTTCGGTTTAATAGTAATGACCAAACAACGTAAAAAGCAGAAGGCCTAATGACCATATTGAACTAGTGATGCGGTGCTGTCCGGCCCTCGAAACTTCGGACCACGCTGCATAATTAAGCTGCAGAAAATAGCTTCCGTTATATCCACTGATTGTTTATCTCAATGATCTGGCTCGCGACACATTCAAAGCTTGGGCTGCACTGATTGTTTTAGATTGTTAGGATTTTTTTTTTTTTTTGCCTACAAGGTCATTTCTTTTTAAATCAACATAAGAAAAAAACAACGTGTATCGTTCAGGTCAAATGTTCTTGTTAAGACTTAGATAAATAATAATGTGTAATCTATACAGTTTGTTTCATTTCTCTCAATTTTTTTTTTTAAATTGAACACTTGGATGTGTGCAAGTAGACAGATGATTAAAACAAAATTGATTTGTAACTCAGATTAAGCCTCAAGAAAAGGGAAAGAAATAAAACGAATATTTTATTTTCAATCTCAAATAAATAATTTTGTTTAAGGTCATAGCAGACGTCTTCAGTTGTAGCAGACTAATTTGTCTCAGGTTATGGCGACCAATTAATGTATGCTTGCGATTAGAAATACTGATTAGAATAGTGATTCGATCACCCGTCCATTTCTGTACAAATGTTCACTCAAAATTGCCCTGACCCACAGGAATGTATTTTAAATATTCATTTGTATAAGAAAACCAATCAAAAGTCTGAATTAACTTTGACACATATACATTCAGAAATACTTTACTTTAAATCAATGTCCTTGGATACTTGTAACAAAGTATTGATCAAAATGTCATTCAAAACTATAGGCGTATTCTACTAAGTTACAAAAAAAAAAAAAAAAAAAAAAAAAGACTAGATAAACTTCTGACACCAGTATCATAGTTGGCATCACCTAGCCAGAATGCTACCGGCGACAGAGTTTGATCTAGTCCTTGTGAACCAAGAGTTGCAGCGAGTTCATACCACGGGGAAAGCTAGCAGATTGTACTGTTCTTCAGTAATGGTGTAGTTCTTAACAATACAACCTACTACCTCACTTCGGGATATTCTCATCGTAGGCTCCCACCGGTCAAGACTTTCGCCAGTGGCCCTGACACTTTCATACGCTTTGGCCAGTCATGGCTTTCAAGTAGTGTCTAATTTGGCCTATTGAGATAGATAAATATTATTTGTATGTTTTGTGCAGTGGTTTCGTCACAAAGTAACCACAGTTAGTCATTTAAGTACATATTTGTATTGATTTAAAGTCTTGGTGAAAGTTAAAATCCCAAACTCTTATAAATCTGATGTAGCTGTTAATTCTCTGCAATGTTATCCTCCAGCGATCTGCCAAATACAAATAATGTCAACCTTTCTTTCCGTGTCGGCCCATACCCATAGATGCAAACTTGTGAAAGGGACGCCATAGGCGCACAAGTTCGGTTCTACGGGTTAGAGCAGGCACGGCTTTGTTTTTTTTTTGTATGTGAGTATTTATGTATTCAGAAATGATGCTTGCGTCATCATCCCCCCCCCCCCCTCCGGTGCTATCGTCGCTGCCAATTTCCAGTTAGCGCTGATAACATGGCACCGTGATAACACAGGCGGAGACACACGCTTGTGACACCGAGTCGCGCCCCTGCCAGGACAGATAATAACTCATTACCCCTTCAGTTGTGCCGCGGATCGTGAGCGGTGCGCGTTGCCTGCTGCTGCCAGTTCGCGCCCCCCCCCCCCCCCCCCCCCCCCCAAGTAAAGTCAAGTTATCAAGCGGTGCATCTGTGAGTGGCTTGACTAAGTTCACGTTTCATTCTTGGACACTGTGTCAAACGTATCACAGGCGCAACATTTTCTCTTCTGCTTAGCCAGCAAAACAAGTTGTATGCGATAAGAACTGTTTCTTCTCATTAGGGAATTCCCATTAGTTCCAGTCCAAGTCTGTCTGGCTCGACAAAACTGGCTCTGCTCTCAGTGGTTCTCATGGCGTAAGTATCGGAGTAAGGGCTGAAAACAATTTTTCGTTTTCTATCCAAGTACATTTTTTTTTTACAGACATTACTTCGAACACTAAGTACTTCCGGACTCTGTGTCGTTCTAAACGTATGGTGGTATTATTTCCCTTCTTGTAGTGTAGCTCTTTCTCTCTTGACATGTAGTCACTAGCTGTGTATTTTCTAAACATTTGGTTGATGTCTAGTGTATGTCTACATTCTCCTAAGTCATTGGTTTGACAACCAGCATGTACAGTGTGAGGATCACGTGGTGCTGTCTCGGCTTCCCCTTAACATTTTTTTTTTTTAGTTTTCAAGTTTTGATGTGGACTCAAACCCACATCCGCCAGCTGACAACAGAGGAATGGAATAAATGTGGTGCTATTATCACCTGTTTTGTTCATGAAAAGAAATTGTTGGTCACCATTTCAATTGCTAATATGATTGCTAATAATTGGTATTTGATAGAGAAAACGTATTTCGTTTCCAACCATTTCTCCTCTGCGACACTTTCATGCTGCAGATTTCGTAAGGTGTCAGTAGGACTTCATTGGCAGCCGTCCCGAAATGATTGAAGAGAAACAAAATATGTTTGTATGGAATTGAAAAGGAGAATGTCTTAACTATTCTTTTATTATCAAGAACACATGAATAGATTTACCACGTCCCTGCTTGGACTGGCTTGGACCATACTTGATATTTACATTCACCATTCAATACTTTTTTTTTTACTTAAAACCTTTTCACGGACATGCATTCAAAAGTAAAAAATAAAGTTCTCTTTTAGACCATGCTGTCTATAGGGCAGATGGTGTAAAGGACACTCCCCCCCCCCCCCCCCCCAAAGTGCGGACGCCAAGTGCTTAACACTCACCCACCGCGCGTTCTGACAATGCATATAGTTCCCATATTTAGAAAGTGCCATTCCCCCCCCCCCCCCCCCCCCGTTTCTTGGTCAGATGAAGAATAACTTCTTAAGGCCTCATTGTTGTAAGAGCCGAAAGTGTTTCATCCCTAGTCTATTCTCTTTGGAAAGAACCTCATTTCACTTGTGATAAAAAACAAACAAACAATCAAAACAGAACAAACAAAATGACTTCTAGGGATATCTAGTAGATAATTCCTTTTTTTCTCTTCAAACGTGGTCGTAGACTAGATCTTAGTGCTTATTTAATATAGATTTTTTTTTTTTTGTTGCTATTAAAAGGTTTAGTACAGCACACCGTAGCTTTGTACTGATGACCAGTTGGGCGTGTCTAACAAACCAATGACATTGGATTATTTAAACACTAATTGCACACAATCATTGAATATTAGCCCCGCTACAATGTACAGAAAAGGAAGAAAAAAAAAACAGCAATGACCTTATCACTTTGACTGAAGGGTCCACAATTTAGTCCAATCGATAATCCAATAAGATTGCTTTAGTTGTTTCTTTCAAGTGTAGACATTCTAAAGAGGAGACAATAATAATACAATAGTCATTTCAGCAATTTCATTTCCTGTTTACAAAATATCACACTAAAGATATTTACTTGATAAGTTATAATAATTAATTTAGAACAAATCTGTTCATGTCTGAATGATAGGTGAATACAAATATTGATATCTGCCTTCACTTTATTACAATGTAAAAAAAATTACCATCAGGACAATATTTATTGCTTGGGGGGCCGGTGGGTTGGCACCCCTTTCACATTGCATGTACAAGAACTATTAAATAATTTAAGGACTATAGGGGACATTTCACTAAGAAAATCATTTGCTTTTCTGTTCTCATATATATATATATATAACCAGGACCCGGTATATAAACTAGAAAAGAAATAAATCTCAGTCTGAACTCTCGAGATATGAAATTAAAAAAGAAAGTTTCTCCACTCATACTCGTAGGCTTAGATCCGTTGTTTATGGGAAAAAAACGCTTATCAGTTGCAGCCCGAGCAGATGACACAACTATGATGCAATTAACTGCCTATTAAATCTTGTTGTAGCACAAATGTTTATATGGATGTGCATACAATATGCATAAATTTTTTTAAAAACAAAAGTTGGCGCTTTCGAAAGACCATATGTAGCTATTGTACCTACATCAAATATAAACATTTCTATTTGTAAAAATAATATTCATAGGACTAATACAATACCAAAACCTCAAAAATTGCCTACTCTATCCGTACCAAAAATGTTTATGAATAGAAAAATACATCTTAATTTGAAAAAAAAACATCTAAGGGTTTGCTTTCAGAAATCAGAAAACCAAAAGTAACCGTTTCACCCTTTTGATAATTAGTCAAGATACTGTGGATGGCAAATATTGTTTTCAATAGTTTTATTTTTTGAGACCTAAACGTGACTGACGGACGGACAGACAGATTGTTTAAATCCAAAAGCATTAAAAATAAATCCTTTTAAGGTCCTTTAAAAAAAAAGTCACATTGTTGACATTAACGCTTTTAGACTTTGCCCTGGTCAAGCTATGTTATCACGATCGATGTTATATTGTTAAGACAACTTTAACAAAATAGTTTTGACACTGATTTTTCAAAATGAACATAAGCTTTATTTGTAGATTATATAATGAGTAATGGCGAAATCTCTTTCTTCCACACTTGTCTCTTTTCCCCCCTTATACTTCAACGATTGAGTGTCATAGAACACATTTTAGATAGACATAGAATAGTCAACCTAGTCGAAATCCAATGCACTCGAGAGAGACGGGGAAAGCACTGTGTAATTGAGTCATGGCGAAGCGTGACACCACCAGTCTGCTCTCATTTGGAAGGCTGCACAAACTGCAGCCACGGCCTGTCGTCTGTTTAGGTCTGTGTGTCAATAACCCAGCCAAGGTTATCGAAGATTGCAGTCACTGTGTCCTAGTTTTAGAATACCAAACGACAGCAACTTTTTGTGTGTGTTATTGTTGACGGTTGTGGGGGAAGGGCACGGTATAGCAGTATGTGTATTTAGTCTGGTTATGCAGCAGGGCAAAGGGTTGGGGGAATGTATGGTGGTGTCAAGTCCATAGTGCTAACCGCAGGTGTACCTACACTAAAAAAACAAAGAAACTGGTAATAAAAAAAAATAATCATTGGCAGATCTGACTAACCCCGCTGACAAGACAGACTTATTGTGTCCGTGCAGTTCGCCCCTGTTGACCCCCACTCAGTTCTTTTAATAGTAGTACACTTTCCACTTGGTCATAAATAAAAAACAACCCTGTATTATGCGCATACGTGTCTACTGCTAACATTACGGAACCGGCTGTCCCCCCTCAATAAAACCGCCATCAAAGAAAGTGTCACATTATCGTCTATGACTAAGAAAGGCATTGTGGCCCACATATTGCTTAGTAGCCCACGTGTGTTGTTAAGTACTTTTTTTTTAGACGAAATTATTGTTCAATCTTCCCCGTTGGTAGGGATTTGTGTTTTTCTTTTGGGAGGGGGGGGGGGTGGCTTACTTCGTCTTTCAAACTCACAGAGTGAAGAAAAAAAAAACAAAACAAAGAAAAACAAATCGCGTCCATTTAGAAAACAAATGCTACTTATTTTCTTGAGTTTTCAAAGTTGAATCAATCAAGCCTGTTCTACACTTGCATTCCGAAGCATCTGTACATGGAACACGATCAAGCTCTTTCAACCATTTTATCTATGCAACCCTTGATTATATTTATTTATTGACTCCCTTAAATAAACCAACTAGGTAAGGCAGTTTGTTTAGTAAGTAAAAGTAGGTAATGGTGCCCCCTTCAGACCTTGCTATCTATGCGGACAGATGATGAAAAGCGCATCTATTTTTATGACCGACTGTTGACGAGGGTGTCGTGTGGTCATAACAACGACCAATCGCCTTTACTTCCCCAGCTTATTTCAGAAGTTTTGGGCGTCCTAAAAATTCGAAAGTTGAAAATCCGTCTTCAGCAGGATTCGTACTTGAAACCTATCGGTTCGGAACTCAAGCACAATCAATATCACACGACCCTAAACATTGATCGACACAGGCTTTTAACTCTCCCCATATATGAAAGTTAAAGAAAAACAATTTCCTAACTTACCCGGTGCGAAGTTGTTTTTTGTTTCTGATCCGTAAGTCTCAGCGTACTAAACACATTTCTTTCGTTCATGCATTCGCACAAGTTTTTTGATGGAAACAAGTTTGTTAACAAAATGAGTATAAACAGTGCATCCCCAACAAAATGAGTATAGAGACTAGAAGTGCCCCCCTCCACCTAAAGATCAAGAGAAAGCATCTCCCCAGCACTAAACTGTATTGCTGATTGTCTCATTTTGCCAGACTGCTCAAACATTCGCGGCATCGATCATCTAGTGTTTCACTCATGAGTGCATACGCGCCTCGTCATCGACCAGGCTGCACCGGGTGCGACAGCAGACGACCAATACTTCCACCCCACCTCCTCGTCTCACATGGCCGACCGTTACACATTTTTTTTTATTGCTGCCGTAAAGA